GGTTTGTAGCAGAGAGGGAGGAGAGGCAGAGAGAGGGGATGGGAGCACAGTGAGATGGGTTAGGTTGGTTGTAGCAGAGGGGGAGGAGAGGCAGAGAGAGGGGATGGGAGCACAGTGAGATGGGTTAGTATGGTTGTAGCAGAGAGGGAGGAGAGGCAGAGAGAGGGGATGGGGATACAGTGAGATGGGTTAGTATGGTTGTAGCAGAGGGGGAGGAGAGGCAGAGAGAGGGGATGGGAGCACAGTGAGATGGGTTAGGTTGGTTGTAGCAGAGGGGGAGGAGAGGCAGAGAGAGGGGATGGGAGCACAGTGAGATGGGTTAGGTTGGTTGTAGCAGAGGGGGAGAGACAGAGAGAGGGGATGGGAGCACAGTGAGATGGGTTAGGTTGGTTTGTAGCAGAGGGGGAGGAGAGACAGAGAGAGGGGATGGGAGCACAGTGAGATGGGTTAGGTTGGTTTGTAACAGAGGGGGAAGAGAGGCAGAGAGAGGGGATGGGAGCACAGTGAGATGGGTTAGGTTGGTTGTAGCAGAGGGGGAGGAGAGGCAGAGAGAGGGGATGGGAGCACAGTGAGATGGGTTAGTATGGTTGTAGCAGAGGGGGAGGAGAGACAGAGAGAGGGGATGGGAGCACAGTGAGATGGGTTAGGTTGGTTTGTAGCAGAGGGGGAGGAGAGGCAGAGAGAGGGGATGGGAGCACAGTGAGATGGGTTAGGTTGGTTGTAGCAGAGGGGGAGGAGAGGCAGAGAGAGGGGATGGGAAGATGGTGAGATGGGTTAGGCTGGTTTGTAGCAGAGGGGGAGGAGAGGCAGAGAGAGGGGATGGGAAGATGGTGAGATGGGTTAGGTTGGTTTGTAGCAGAGGGGGAGGAGAGGCAGAGAGAGGGGATGGGGATACAGTGAGATGGGTTAGGTTGGTTTGTAGCAGAGGGGGAGGAGAGGCAGAGAGAGGGGATGGGAGCACAGTGAGATGGGTTAGTATGGTTGTAGCAGAGGGGGATGAGAGGCAGAGAGAGGGGATGGGAGCACAGTGAGATGGGTTAGTATGGTTGTAGCAGAGGGGGAGGAGAGGCAGAGAGAGGGGATGGGAGCACAGTGAGATGGGTTAGTATGGTTGTAGCAGAGGGGGAGAGACAGAGAGAGGGGATGAGAGCACAGTGAGATGGGTTAGGTTGGTTGTAGCAGAGGGGGAGGAGAGGCAGAGAGAGGGGATGGGGATACAGTGAGATGGGTTAGTATGGTTGTAGCAGAGGGGGAGAGGCAGAGAGAGGGGATGGGAGCACAGTGAGATGGGTTAGGTTGGTTGTAGCAGAGGGGGAGGAGAGGCAGAGAGAGGGGATGGGAGCACAGTGAGATGGGTTAGTATGGTTCTAGCAGAGGGGGAGGAGAGGCAGAGAGAGGGGATGGGAGCACAGTGAGATGGGTTAGGTTGGTTGTAGCAGAGGGGGAGAGACAGAGAGAGGGGATGGGAGCACAGTGAGATGGGTTAGGTTGGTTGTAGCAGAGGGGGAGGAGAGGCAGAGAGAGGGGATAGGAGCACAGTGAGATGGGTTAGGTTGGTTGTAGCAGAGGGGGAGAGGCAGAGAGAGGGGATGGGAGCACAGTGAGATGGGTTAGGTTGGTTGTAGCAGAGGGGGAGGAGAGGCAGAGAGAGGGGATGGGAGCACAGTGAGATGGGTTAGTATGGTTCTAGCAGAGGGGGAGGAGAGGCAGAGAGAGGGGATGGGAGCACAGTGAGATGGGTTAGGTTGGTTGTAGCAGAGGGGGAGAGACAGAGAGAGGGGATGGGAGCACAGTGAGATGGGTTAGGTTGGTTGTAGCAGAGGGGGAGGAGAGGCAGAGAGAGGGGATAGGAGCACAGTGAGATGGGTTAGGTTGGTTTGTAGCAGAGGGGGAGAGGCAGAGAGAGGGGATGGGAGCACAGTGAGATGGGTTAGGTTGGTTGTAGCAGAGGGGGAGGAGAGGCAGAGAGAGGGGATGGGAGCACAGTGAGATGGGTTAGGTTGGTTGTAGCAGAGGGGGAAGAGAGGCAGAGAGAGGGGATGGGAGCACAGTGAGATGGGTTAGGTTGGTTGTAGCAGAGGGGGAGGAGAGACAGAGAGAGGGGATTGAGAGAGGAGGCGATGGGAAGACAGTGAGATGGGCTCTGGTGTGCCAGGTTTGAGGGAGACAAGAGAGAAGTGGTGGTGGTGTGTGGCGAGGGAAGCCAGTGAACTCGGGTTAAGCTCGTGTGGCGGGGGAGGAGAGAGAGGAGGGCTCGGAAGCCAGTACAGTACGTAGTGAACTGAGGTTAGGCTGGTGTGGTGGCGGGGGAGTCGAGAAGGAGATGGAAAGCCAGTGAATCTGGGTTGAGGCTGGCTGTGGCGAAGGAGGAGGAGGAGAGAGAGAGACAAGAGGGAATCTTTGCGTGGCGGAGAAGCCAGTGAGATGGGATTAGGCCGGTGTGGCAAGGGGAGAGAGGAGAGTGGACTGGCAATGTAGCGCACGATGAGCTGGGAGTTAGGTTGGTTTGGTGTGGAAGGGGGAGGAGAAAGGCTGGTAAACAAACAGGCTTTCCGCTCCAGCAGACGCGCTTTCACAGCGAAATACGAGCGCCCTCCACATCATCACAGCCAGCGCTGTGTGCAGCTCCCCGCCCAGCACTGTACTCACTCTATTTAATCACATCCCCCTCCACCACAGGCCCGCAGTAAATATTAACTGAGTGTGCCGTGTGCTTAGGCGTATGATGTATGGTGATACCAGTTGTGCGTGGTGTTGATTTGTGTGAATGTGTATCGTGAGAGCAAGGGGATGTTGGTGGTGGAATGGAGTTTAATGACACCCCCCTCCACCCCAGCTCTTGAGAGTTCCAGCCGGCTCGAGTTTTGACTCTCGGTTGTTAGGGATTGGTGGCAAATGATGTGGTGTTACGGCTGGCATTAGTCTCCCCCATAAGGCGTGCCCAGCCTAAACAGGAGAAGCTGGTGGTTGTGGTTGTTGCCGCCCGTCGAGTAAGGGAGACAAAGGCAGTCAGCTGGGTGTGTGTGTGTGTGAGGCCACACTCCACACACACACTCCACACGTGTGTTTTCACTGTTGTTATCGCCCATAATAGGCTCACTAAAATACGGTGACGTTTGTGTTAAAGTGGGCCGTTTTGGTCTTATTGGTTGATAAAGTGGTGAGTTTACCGAAAAATGTTTCTAAAAAATAATATTAATGTTACGTTATTACAGTATGTTCCACATTTCATGTGACAGGATGGGGAGGAGGAGCAGTGACAGTGATTCGTGCACGACACTGAAACCAGTGTTGCCTGAGCTCGATTCACAACCATGGCTATAACAGAAGCAAGCTCTTAATCTGAATTGATGGGACCATCTGCACCAACCAGCACTGAGCAGCGTGGTGAAGTATGGCCAAACAATACGCAGCAGGCCTTCGTCCAATAGTGGATCGATGAAGGGCAAAAAGTATGACAATTATATGGCAGATGACTTTTGTGGCATGAAACCTATGGCTCTTAAAATTGGTGTCCAAACCTCAAATATTTTGTTTGATGCCCACAGCGGAGTCAACCAATGAACTGCACGAAAACCCATTAGACTAAATCGGTAATCGCACTCAGCAGTGAGGAGCCGCCAAACACGCATGTCAACATCTTGATAGCGCCATCTAATGGGCGGATAAATTGACCAATTGAAACAAATTGATGCAGGCCTGCAATAGTTTCTTTCCAAGGCTGTACCCTCATGGAGATAAATGACCCTGCTCTCTTGTAAGGCAGTGCTGCAAATTGAATGACGCACCACTCTAAATTTGAGTGAGCACTGAATGAAAAATGTAAAACTCCTTCAGTACAGTTTTTGGGTCATGCTGTATGCTGTGTTTTTTCATGCTGTCACATATATATGTGTGTGTGTTCTCCTACGCGTATGAAAAGTTGGCAAGCCAGGTTGTCAAGAACTAGATTTCACGGAAACTCACTTCTCTCTACTGACCTGATGTGCCTGTTTGGAATCCCCAAAATGTGTCCATCTGCCATAAACTGTGGACTCTAAAAGACCCTCTGACATAATTTGCAAGAGTACGTATGATGTCACGGTGTAAATTAGCGGCCACTAATTAAAACATATATGCTGTATTAATAACAATTACCAATTCATACTTTAAATATTATCGCTCTTGCAAGAGTTGATGAATCTTAATTAGCGCTCAATTAAGGGACAAGTTCGTAAAGCTGGTGGTTTATGGCAACAACGCATGTTGTGCTGGTGTTGATTGAATGTACCATGTGGGTGCATGCTATTGTGGATAAATTACCGCGTGTACAAAATGTTTTTCATTCAAATATTTCGCACCATTATTCTTTTACCACCTTACATTTTGTTTTAAATCTCAATACTGTAACGTTTTTAATTGCATCTGGCTCGATAAAGGAACATTATATTTTTTATCCACATATTTACGTGGCAGATGTATTTTATTTTGTGGCATTCGTCCCAATGGTGTGAATGTATTTTAGAAATCCACATTTTAATTACACACAAGGGTTAACAGTACAGTACGCCCTAACCAGCCACATGTAAAGTGCACGCATGTTGACATTCGTGGACTGTCCATGTAGATGTTACAGCAGCGCTTAAGTTAAGCTCGCGCTGAAATGAAAGGGCAATGCGAGTGCTCGAACAACATTCACGCAAATAATAACGTAAAAACACAAGGCCCAAAAAGGCTACACAAAAGCACCCACACACAACAACACACCCAAACGGACCTCTGGTCCGAGTGCGCCATTGCAGCCTATTAAAATAAAGCACGGCTAAAATGGACGCAGCAGCAGCAGCAGTAGTAGCAGCAGGCAAACACGAACCACTCGTGGCTAAGGTTTCCCGTGGCTTTATTCGCTTCATTCCGAGGGAATGCTCGTCGTGTAAAATGCACGAGCGAGTTTGTTGGTGCGAGGAGAAGGGGAGTGCGCTGTAAGCCCGTTTGAGTTTAGTGCGGAATTGAGGCCACGCTAATGAGCGAACGACCGCCGCGCTACCCTGGAATGCGTGATCCGCCCCGCGCAGCCACCCCGCCGCAAATAGTGCGGCCCCTGTTTGCCTTTGTGCGGGGGGGGGGGGAGACGTCCCGCCCTCGCAGCGCTTTTTTTTATTTTGTTTTAAACCGCAAAGACGTTTTGTGTCTGTGTGTTCCTTGCGCGCGACGAGCGAATGTCCTCGCCCGAGCGACATTCGGCGGTCAGGGACAGCGACGGAGTTGGTGGGGAAGGGGTTAGGCTGAGCGGGGGACTTTGTCGCGCATGGATCGGGGTTTTTTTCCCTCCCCCCCTAGCTCCGCGCGCGCGGAAGGATACCCACCCAACCTCCCTTCCCCCACCCCCACCAACGGAGCCGAGAGCCGCATCACCGCCTGCGATAACACACGAAGCGGCCCCCGGTGCGACGCGAATCCCGGAGCGCGGATTCGTGCCCAAAATGGGGCACTCGGAGCCGCCAAGCACACAATCGTCAAAAACAACTATCCCAAAAACAGATTTGTGCGGCGAAATCGTCGTGGTCTTCGCCGGCTGTTAGTCGCGAATCAAAGGACGGCGAGTAGATTCATTTTCCCAGTGGCGGCGGCGGTGAAGAAGAAGGGCGGTGCTAAAGCGAACCCGAATCCTCGCCGCCCCGAGGGAGCGGTAATCCGGTCCGGCTCTTGCGCGCCGCTCTTTTTAATAATAGAAGTACAGTAATGGATAGGAGTAGTTGTGCTCTAAGTCCTCATGCCAGGCTGCGGGCCAACAACTCTGTGCATGGACTCCTCTTGGGGTCGCCTCGTTGAATCGGGCACACGCGGGAGGGACTTAGCGACGAGGGGACAGGAGAGACGCCACGCAGCACAGGCTTAGTCCCCCGTCCGTCAACGAAGGCGGTGATATGTAAAGTTTAAAGGAGGGGAGAGAGAGAGGGGGAACAAGAAGGCGGGCTCGCAGAGAAGGCGGACAAAAGCGGCGGACGCCCCTTTCTCTTTCACGCGCCTCGTCCCTCCGTCCCGTGCGACCCCCGTCCGGCTCCTCTTTTTTTTGTTAGACGCGAGGAGATAGAAACGACGAGGAGAAGGAAGAGGACGAGAGGGCGACGAGCAAGGGGGGAGGAGGAGAGGAGGAGCGGGAGGAGAGACGGTGGAGGACGAGGAGGCATGGCCGCCCAAGTGAAGCTGGTGGGCGGCCTCGGGCGCGACTCGGAGCGCAGCCCGCTGCTCGGCAGGGCGAGCGCCGAGCACCCGGGCAGCGCGGGCGAGCAGCAGCAGCAGCAGCCGACGTCGCTGTCGGACGAGGCCACGGGCAGGAAAGTGCGGGCGGGCGCCGAGCAGAGCGGCGACAACAGCGGCAGCAACAATAGCAACAGCAACAGTAATGGAGACCAACAACATGGAGTGCGGGCCAAGGACGGCGGAGGCAGCAACGGCAGAGGAGGAGGAGGCGGCGGCGGTGGCGGCGGCGGCGGTGATGCCGGTGGAGTTCCCGACACGTCTTCGTCGTCATCGTCGTCGTCGTCTTCGTCGTCTGAAAGGGAGGCTGGGGTCTCTGCCACGGAGGCAACGGGGCCTAGTGGGCCGCATCATGGCGGAGAGACCCCGGGCTCGGCTGGGAGCTCCGCCGAGCCCGGGGCGAGGGGGCCCGGCGGACTGAACTCTCACGGTGACGGGGTTTACGGGGTCGGTGGTGGCGGGGGTTACGGCTACGACGGAACTCGCTCGGGCTATGGGCCCGGCTTCTCGGGGGCTCACTCGCCCCGAGGAGCGGGAGGAGCCGGAGCGGTGGGGCTCAACCAGCAGCAGGACGTAATGATGATGATGGCGGGTGGCGGAGGAAGGGCAGTTGCTAACAGCAGCGTGGCCGGCTATCCGCACCACCACCATCAGCACCATCACCACCAGCAGCATCAGCAGCACCATCAGCACCACCACCACCATCAGCAGCAGCAACAGGGCAGGCTGATGGGCGGACAGTCGTCTCATTCGGCGCAGTCTTCGTCGCAGTCGGCCGAGACGCCAACACTGAACCAGCTGCTCACATCGTCCAACCCCGCCCGGGTATACAGCGCCATGGCCGCTGGGCAAGGTCCGGGGCCGGCTTCTTCTTCTTCTTCATCATCAACAGCAGCAGCAGCGGCAGCAGCGTCAGCAGCGGGAGCTTCGTCAGCAGCAGGAGGGCGACCAGCGGCCACGGCGAGTCCTCAGCCACCCAACAAACAGGTGAGAGAGTTTTAGGTAAACAGAAAAACAACGACCCAAGTTGTATTTCGTGTGGTTGAAGCCCCTCGTGGTCGTAGTGATTACTGTGATGTAATTCTCGCGTTCAGGAACAGCTCGCAGAGCCTTGGGACCCATTTTTAAGAGTGTCCTTCGTTGATATGTTGGTCGAGTTTATTAGTGTTATCGTTAAAATGCGTTGATTTGCATGTGGGGGGGGGGGGCAAATTTACCCGGAGGAAACCCAACCAACCTGCTGTCTACATGGCAGGTTTTACATCCTCATAAGTCTGCACAGATGAGTTCACGAACCCTCACTTTTATGTCTACGAGCTGACCACCCAAGTGTGTATGGCTAGACTCGCACGTCTCTGCGTGATCCACCAACCCTTGCCTCCAAAAGCGCCGGCTCGGACACGTTATCTGTGCGAACTGCGGTGGCAGTGGGTGCACGCGCGCCAATAAACTCACAACGCTCGTCGCTAACGCTAACGAAATAAAGAGAAAATCCCCCGATATCATTAGGCGACGTTCCGGGCTGTGGCCCTTCGTAGCACACAGATGGGGAGTTCGTCTCACAGACGTGCGCCACAACCGTGGTGTGGTGGTGGTGGAGGCAGCAGCAGCAGCAAGCAAGCAACGTGCTTTGCTCCAAGAACAAAGGGGACCCCTCTGACTTTTTACTGTCTCTTGCTTTCGTCGTCTGCTCGTTCGGGCGGCCTTCTAGGCTCTTTTAGGCGATTTGCGGTGGCCCTCGGTGGGATTTCTGTGCGTCGGTGGTGGAGTTCGCGTCGTGGTTTTTGTGTGCGCTGGAAGAGCCCGTGGAGGTTATGAAAGCGGCGTGAGAGTTTGTCCTCCCCCCACCGCCACTAGCTCCCTCTGGCCGCGCTAATGGTGATGGTGGCTTGCCTACTGCTGTATTCATTGGGCCCTCCATGTGCGTGGCTGGTGTGTGTTTGTTTTTGGGGGGGGGGGGCGGGATTAAATTTGCTCATTTTGTGGCTGCTTTTTTCACCGAGTTGTCACTGGGGTCAGTTTTTTTCATGTTTTTTTATTTACACGGTGACTGAGGTCGAGTTCATCCGTCCAGATATGAGAAATGTTTTGAAAATGTTGCATCGATAAATGTGTTCGGGAAAGTCGCAACAGGAAAACAAATAATATTCGAATCTGTGTGTACACTTTCAGTGGCTACGATGAAACACATGAAGGCCATTTGGGCCTTAAGTGTGTGCACGTTAATAAAGCAGATGTACACAAGGTTGCACTGTTTTCGTTATCCATCGGAAGCAGTACGGTAATACAATAAAAAAAAATCGGCATGTTGACTAATTGAGTGCTGAATTATAGAATCAAGAAGTGCACGCGAATAAGACCTTAGAAGCAGACGAAATGAAAATTTACGTAATTGCTAAAATTGTAAGTGTGTATCCCAAGCGAGTTTCAGACATCAATGACGTATAAAAAAAAAACATTTGCCCTGTTCTTAATTGGCATTAGTTTTTTTTTCAAAAGGCAGGTTCTGTATCCATTAATGCATTCGTATTACCGATTTCCGCACTTTTTTACATCGAAATAAACGTCTTTTAATCCAACAACAAAAAAGAACTAAGCCAAAATTTGAAACCTTATGATACATTGGACTCGTCGTGATGTGCAAGCCGTGCGGGAGATCCCTCGCGTGTGAGTGAGCGAGCAAGGGGGATTGTTTGTAAACACAGGCGAATATCTGAACTTGATTGAACTAATGCACAATGGGGCACACGTGGCGCTGACGACTGCAACGCCCCTAATGGGATGAGATGCTTCAATTGCCGCTGCAATTTTGAGATTGCCACCAAGGGTGCTTTAGGAATATTTTGACTGCACATGGGGGCTGTGCACAATGTTTCCATTAAAAAGGAAGGGTTTTTTAAATTGCGGGTATTACGACAAAACAAATTTCTTACTTTTCCACACAATCAGAACCAATTTGTTAATGCTATGTATTTTCTCAAATTTTAAGGGTACGAATTTGTTTTGATATTCGGTCATGTAAATAAAATTAATGCAGTATTGGTTATGCACGGTTTAGCTAGATTGGTTGCTGTTCTCATTCCAATGGCCTGTTAAAATGTTTTGCCCTTCTTGCAAGTGAAAGTCTCCCTGGGTCAGTGTAACATGAAATGAACATCCAGTAACTACTCCGTGGACTCAGGGAAAAATTTGGGTTCTTGTCCCTGGAAATAAATGTGCACGAGCAACACTGGCTCACTTTGCATTACATAAGTGCTCTCTTTGCCTTTGGCCTTTTACCCTATTTCCCCACTGTAGTCACAGCCCAGAGAGGATCACGGTTTGATTCCCAGGCAGAACAGTTGTTACATTTTGGGCGAGCTGCCTTATGCACCATTGCCCCTGCCTACTCAGCTGTAATGTGGATTAAGCTGGAAAGAAGTGTATGGGCATATCGCTTCACGTAAGGCGTGTAGCGTAAGCAGCATGCAGTCCTATTTCAAACTCTGTGTGCAAGAGTTTGTTAAATGTGCCCTGTGGAGGTCATCTATGGTGTGTCTCGCACACATTTTTCTTTTGGCCTAATGGACTGGCTTACAGTACTGTAATTGTAATACACTAGTAGATGTGAAACGTCAACCACGTGTCTTATAGCATCTTAACATCAATGCTGAGGTCCACCATCCAGGAACCAAGCATGCGGTGCTGCCATTTTCTCGTGTGCCTGGTAAGTCGCCGGTTGCTTGTTTGGCTAGACAACGTTCAGGGAGGGGAAAGGACGCGTTTCGAATATCCCTTTTCCACTGGTACATTCGAGCCAGGTGATATTCCACTGGCTGTTAGCCTTGCTGAGCCGTAACTAAACTGCTTTGCTAGCCTCACAAGACATCTGAATATGGCTCTTGGCCGAACAGGGTCAGGGGTGGGCATAATGACATGAATTACCTGGGAAATGTAAACACAAATTAAATTGCATCGTTGCATCATGTACATGCATCCAAACACATTATATGAAGTTGGCGGTACGGCTAGCCTTCTACAGTTGAAACACATCCTATTACCCCCTGAACTACACTCAGCTGGCTTGGCGAGGCTCTGGCACGGCTTGGTTATACAGTGGAAATGAGGTATACGTTGCCCTGTAGAACGAGTTAAAGTGTACTGTAGTTCGTCCATCAATGGCATTACCATTGCCCCCTCTAAATTGGCGCCTCTTCTGAGACTGGCTGAATGAGCCAGGTTAATCTCAGAGGTGCATGGTGATAAGTGTCCTGCATCATTCGCGTTGTCATCGTTAAAAGGTCACCAACTTTGCTGATTTCATACGTCCTGAACAATTGACAATTTTGCACACCTACCCCTAAAAGTCCAATGCGCCTGTCAACTCAACGAGACAAAAAACACCTTTTGCTCATGTAATGCTTGTTATACGTTGGTTGAGTGTACATCACATTGTGGAAGGAAGTTTTTGGCACAAATGATCTGAAACGTGCTCAACAATGTACTTTCACGTCTGGACCGACAGAAAGCTGATGTCTTGTCGGTGTTTATCACGCGCAAGCGATTTGTTGAAAGCCTTTTCAGATGTCCAGCACCCATGGGTAGCACTGCAGGTAAGAATGCACGTTAAAATCCCATGTAACAACATTCGAGGCTAAATTTGCAAGTACAGTACCGTAAGTGATTTCCATAAACAAAATCCATTGTTACAGAAAACTATTGAAGTGTATTATTAGCTCCAAGCCTATTTTGATTGGTCCGAAAAGTTATTAGATTGACAGAGCTACCCATGATTGGCTGCTCTGCCACACATACAACTTTTTAGTCGCAAGTGAAAACATTACATGCTTTTCCTTGTTGATATTTCACTTTTTTTTGTAACTCTTACGTGCTTCCTGATTCTAATGCAGTGGCTAGTAAGGCCTTTGGAAGTATCTATCTTGCATTCAAATGTTGACAAGTAGATTCGTAAGTTCAGGGTTTTTTTACTAGACATTTGGTGTCAGTATATACAGTGAGGGAAAAAAGTATTTGATCCCCGGCTGATTTTGTACGTTTAACCACTGACAGTCTATAATTATAATGGGAGGTTTATTTGAACAGTGAGAGACAGAATAACAACAAAATCCAGAAAAACGCATGTCAAATATGTTATAAATTGATTTGCATTTTAATGAGGGAAATAAGTATTTGACCCCTCTGCAAAACATGACTTAGTACTTGGTGACAAAACCCTTGTTGGCAATCACAGGTCAGACGTTTCTTGTAGTTGGCTACCAGGTTTGCACACATCTCAGGAGGGATTTTGTCCCACTCCTCTTTGCAGATTTTCTCCAAGTCATTAAGGTTTCGAGGCTGACGTTTGGCAACTCGAACCTTCAGCTCCCTCAACAGATTTTCTATGGGATTAAGGTCTGGAGATTGGCTAGGCCACTCCAGAACCTTAATGTGCTTCTTCTTGAGCCACCCCTTGGTTGCCTTGACCGTGTGTTTTGGGTCATTGTCTTGCTGGAATACCCATCCACGACCCATTTTCAATGCCCTGGCTGAGGGAAGGAGGTTCTCACCCAAGATTTGACGGTACATGGCCCCGTCCATCGTCCCTTTGATGCGGAGAAGTTGCCTTGTCCCCTTATCAGAAAAACACCCCCAAAGCATAATGTTTCCACCTCCATGTTTGACGGTGGGGATGGTGTTCTTGGGGTCATAGGCAGCATTCCTCCTCCTCCAAACGCGGCGAGTTGAGTTGATGCCAAAGAGCTCCATTTTGGTCTCATCTGACCACAACACTTTCACCCAGTTGTCCTCTGAATCATTCAGATGTTCATTGGCAAACTTCAGACGGGCATGTATATGTGCTTTCTTGAGCAGGGGGACCTTGCGGGCGCTGCAGGATTTCAGTCCTTCACGGTGTAGTGTGTTACCAATTGTTTTCTTGGTGACTATGGTCCCAGCTGCCTTGAGATCATTGACAAGATCCTCCCGTTTAGTTCTGGTCTGATTCCTCA